AATATCTGTATATATTAATTTAAATATTACAAACTATAACATAAATACGAAATAAAACAAAATATATATAAGGGGTTAATATTAATATTTTAATATTTAAATTAATATATATATATAAGGATTTATAACAATATTATTTTTATATTTAAATTAATATAGTATATATAAGGTTTTAATAATATTATTTTAATATTTAAATGAATATAATATATAAGGGTTTAATATAATATTATTTTAATATCTTAATATATTAATTTAAATATTACAAACTATAACATAAATACGAAACAAAGCAAAATATATGTAAGGGGTTAATATTAATATTTTAATATTTAAATTAATATAATATACAAGGGTTTAATAAAATATTATTTTAATATTTAAATGAATATAATATATAAGGGTTCAATATAATATTATTTTAATATTTAAATATATTATATAAAATATTAAAATATTATTTTTTAATATTAAACATATTAATATTTAAATATTAAAAAACGTGACATATAAATACCACACAAATATATAAAAAATGTATAATGAAAAGGGTTTAATAAACAAAAAAAGAAATCAAATATACGTTTAGATGTAATAAAATTAAAAAAAAAAAAAATGCAAAAATGACATTTATACTTTGATGATTATTATAATATTATTGTTGTTATTTGTATTACCTCGAAAGTCAATCTTCAAGAATTTTTCTCCTTTACACTTGAGACCCTGAAAATTTTTCACAACTACGACGAGAGCCATCCTCTTTCCTTTTCTTTCTTCCAATAAACTTTTGTTTTTTTATATATTCGATTATTATTTATTTTTTCTTAAATTATTATCTAATTATTCTTAATCGTAATACTTGTATCAATGAGAAGTCGACTACTACACACTGTGAGTCAAACGTTCCCGCGGTTTCTTTTTCATTCATGCTACTTTTTTCCCTTTCAACGAACGATTATCGATAAAATAAAATTAAAAAGAAAATTAAGAAAAATTAAAAAAAATTGAATCTTTCTATAACAACAACAAAACAATCTATAAATTATCTAAATTATCTAAATTATCTAAATTATCTAAATATCACAAATATATAATTTATTATCTTATAATAATCAAATAATTCATTTAAATAAACAAACATATGTTAATAGAAAAAAAAAAAAAACAAGAAATTATTTCAACAAAAATACACACAAATACAAAAAAAAAAACAACAAAATTTAATTTGATAGACACCGGTGGGGCGTAGGTGGAGAGGGGGGGGGGAAACAGATGAATGTTGTTTTTTGAGAGGGGGGGAGGCTAAGTTGAAGGAAAACAAAATATTGTTGAAACACTTTGAAGATAACAATACTTAATGACAAATATTATTCTATCAATTTAATAAGAAGGTTGAAAAAAAAAAAGAAAAACAATGTTGTATATTCTCGTGTTTGATAAACGTGACGAACAGTGCCTTATGGTGTCTGGCCTCGAACTGCCTCGAGATCGTACTCTCAAGCAAGCAACCCTCTCAACCAACCCCCCTAAAAAGCAACCTCTGAACCAAGCAGAACATTTCGCGCAGACGCGAATCATATTCGTTCTACATTCCAAATACGCGTAACATATTATCATGAAGGTACTTACTTATCAACGTGTACGCACCTTTGCAAACAATCATAGCATTAATTAACCTAATGCTTAGATAAAAATAAAAACAAAAAAAAACAAAAATTCTTATCTGCAATAGAGAAATAAAAACCAAACAAAAGCAAGAAAGAAAAGTAAAGAATATTAATGAAATAAACAAATGAAGTTAAAAACAATAAAAAGATTTTTTTTTTTTAAATATGTTCGTTAATTTTTTTAACAAATTATTTTTACATGTTATGGAAATAATATTTTTGTAATTTTATATAATTTTTTTTACTAATCAATATATATGTATATGTATTGTTATCTAATTTTTATATATCTTCTTAATATATATAAATTATGTGTCACGTTGTTTGTCCGCAATGGACACCTAAACTACTGAACTGATTTTAATCAAATTTAGCACACAGTGTGCAGTTTCATTCAATTTGAAAGATAGGATAATTTATAATAATTTAATAATTAAAATATATTAGATAATTATTTAATTTTTTATTAATATAACAGTAAAATAAAATTTATTTTATTATACTATAATTAATAATATTAATTATAGCATAATATTAATTAATAATATTACTATAATACTATAATTAATATATTAATTTATTTTATTCAATTTTATTAACAATAGTAAAATAAAATTTATTTTATTAAAATATAATTAATATTATTAATTACAATATAATAATTAATTAATAATATTTAATTAATAATTAATTAATAATATGATTAATATATAAATTTGTTATATTTAATTGTATTAATAATAGTAAAATAAAAAATTAAATTATATAAATAATATAATTATTTAATTTTTTATTTTATTATTATACTATTATATTAATATTAATATTAATTATTGATAATAAATTTTTGACTCATTGTCCTAATTCAATCGAAATTTTTCAAAGGGTTTTTTTAATGAAAATGAATGACGTCACGTGTCAAGAACAAAAAAAAAACATTCGAAAAATGTTCTGTAAAAAAACGAAAATTCTCTTCAATTGAATTCAACGTTGATTCTAACAAAAAAACATTTCCTTTTTTTTTTTTCTTTTTTTTTAATCTTTGTCCGTAGATGGAAGAAAACATTTAAAAAAAAAAAAAAAAAAAAATAGAGAAAGAGAGTTCATTCAAACGTACTAATTATAAATCGTGTGTGTGGGGGCTGCTTTTTTGTTAAGTAAATGTTGAGAAAAAGGACACTTTAATTGGATGAACGTTAAAACAAAAATGTTAAATAGTCAGAAATATAATATTTTATATAATTACAAAGTATCCTTTTGAATATTATTTCAATATTATGAAGAAACTTTATTTCATTTTTTCTTTTCTGATTTGTTTAATTATCCCAGAATTTTTACACACAAAGAGAATATATTTTGGTAGGGTTGATTGAACATACGCGTAAAAGCACACGAAAATTCAAAGATAACGCATGTTCCAAAATTCATTTTAAAATGTACGATAACATTTTTTTTTATTTCATTATATATATATATATAGTATCTATTGTAAAAGCTTTTAAGAATTTGTTGAAATTCATTGTTTATAAAAAAAAAATTAGTTAATAAACTTTTGTAACATTTTATTTCATATTTAAATCAATTTCATAACATTTTATTTCAAATTGATCGTTGTACGAATACTTTGTACACCTTTTGACAAAATTCGATTGAATTAGGACAATTAATTATCAATAATTAATTGTTTAAATAATTATAATATATTTAATTTTTTATTTTAATTATTTAGTTAATGTATACTTTTAATATGTATATATTTAAATCTAATTCTATTTGTCTAATGTCTAATTTTAATCAAATTATTTGAATAAACTAAAGAAATATAAAACAACAACAAAATAATTCGACATTTCAGTAAATCTTCTTAAGAGGACACGTCACCTAAAAAAGTCGATTTTTTTTTTCGATTTTCTGAAAGAATATTATTTCAAAAATATTCTCTCAAATTTTCGTAAAGATCCGCGCATTATTTACGAAACTGTAGCAATTTAATATATATAAATTACGTGTCACGTTGTTTGTTCGCAATGGACTCCTAAACTACTGAATCAATTTTAATAAAATTTTGCAAACTCTCTGCAGTTTTATCCAACTTAAATGATAGGATAGTTTATATCTTAATTTATAATTGCAATATTATTTTATTGCCAATTATTTGTTTGTTAACAAAGAGTCATGGTATTTTATAAAGATAAAGAAACATTTCAAGGTAAACTTTAAGCTTGTATTAAAAAAAAAAAAAAATAATAAAATAATAATAATAATAATAATATTTTTATTTTATTAGTATCGCGTGACTTGTATCATTTGTAATAGAGTTAGGTTGGCACGAAAAATCATACTTCTTTCACAATTCCTTCAAATCTAACCATCTTATAAGATTCTAGTGTGTGTGTATACAAACACATATTCATATATATATATATATATATATATATCTAAAATTTCATTATTATTATTATTATTAACCAGACATATTATACTGATTTATGTGTGTTTTATAACTATGAAATAAAATTGATTATTCTTTACCCAACGTTTATGATTTATTATTTTTATTTTTATTTTTTCTAATATTTCTTAACACGAATTAAAATTATTTTATTTTTAATTTAAGATAGTAATCTAAAGTTTTTATTAAAATAAAATAAAAATAACACTTACGATGTATATAAAATATTCCTTAAAAAGAAATAATAAAAAAAAAAAATTTTTTTAAATATTAAAAAAATAAAAAATAAAACCCTTTTTTTTATTTTTTTTTTTTTTTTTTATATAAATCATATAAAAAAACATACACGCACACATACAAGTGATTTATATAAGATATTCCTTAAAAAGAAATTTAAAAAAAATGTTTTAAAAATAAAAGAAAAAATAAAATAAAATAAAAAATGAAAAGAAAATCCTCTTTTTTTTTTTATTTTTTTTTTTTTATATATAAAAATCGTAAGACACAACAGTTCATATTTTCTGAACCTTTTTCTTTTTTTTTTTTTTTCTTTATAAAAATCATAAGAAACAACAGTTGAATTTTTCCGAAACCTTTTCCTTTTCCTTCATTTTTTTTGGTACTTTTTTTTTTGTTTTAATTTGATCAGAAATATCTTTCTAACATTTTCCGAATAAATTGCTTCATAAAGTGGTTAGAAAGTGGTTTATTTGTGGTAGAATGAACGGAGAATAGGTCAAACGTTATGAGTAGACTGATGGAATTAAACGATTAACCCTTTACTCCATCCTATCCTGGTGTGTTGTTAATACATTGTTAAATGTTAACCAAAAAAGAAAATAAAAAGAAAGAAAACGTAACAGAAAACGAAAAAGTAAAAGAAAGAAAAAGAAAAAAAAACCATGTACAAGCAATAAACGTCTAATTATAGGTAAAAGTCAACTGGCTATGCAATTATGCAGTTTATCCAATCTCTAATCATTTTCTCAGTTAATTTGAAATCACAAAAATTCCATCTTCTACTCAATAATTAACTAATACATATATATATATATACACAGTTATATACAATTTCCAAAAAGTAATCAAAAAAAAAAAAATATATATATATATATATATAAATCAACCAATCAAACACAAATAACTTTCTCAATCAAATATTTTCAAACACTTTCTAATTCCACGATTGGTTACATTAAAAAAAAAAAAAAAATTAGAAAAAGAAGGTGATGGTAATTTAAAGTTTAAAAATCATATTTAAATGTTAAAATCGTTCATCTAACACACCCCCAATCTTCAAACTTGGATAATTAGTTAGATCTTTTGCTAAGTAACTTAATTAAAAGTAGAATTAACTAAGTTTTCATCGAATGAGAATGAAATAAAAGAAAGAATGAATGAATGAAAGAAAGAAAGAAAGTAAGTCAATGAAAAATCCTAGAATTTATCTATAAAATCATATAACATTTCTTTTTTTTTTTTAATATATATATAATAGTAAGTAATAATCCTTGCCCTTTGGAAGGACGTATAAAAATAATTATGCAAATACACCCATACATACATACATACATATATATATCTACACAGTAAAGTAAACTGTATATATATGTCACCCTATATTTTTTTATTACAACAATCAAAAAAAAAAAAGGTAAAAGAAAAAAATTAGTAAGAAATGAAATAAAGAAAATCTAGGGATTTTCTTCTGATCTTAGAATAAATCTGTGATAGGGTTTGCGTGAATTGGGGTCAATCTCGATTCTCTCGCAGATGGAATTTTAATAGTACCTAAAGAAAAGTACCTAAATACGTATATATATATATATATGAGGTGAAGTTTAGACACGAAGGTCAGAGAAGCAAGCACAAAGAGAGAGAGAGCTTTAGTAAGCTTCTTTGGAAAGAGACAAGGTGGTGGGCCGTGTTCTTGGGGGTGTGCGGGGGTGGATCAATAATGGGGAATGGGGTTTGGCTGGGATTTCTCAGCGCCATCCTACCAATCTATTTGGTACTAACAACTGTTGCTTCATACACTCCTCCTTCTTTTTTTATTTTTAATTTTAAGATCTAACTATATGAACATTTTATCTCATTTACGTTCCCAATCCGATTATTTGTTCTAACATCCCCAAACATTCAAAACCCCCCTCACTCTTATGGTTTACATTTTTTATGATGATTTTTTCTCTTTTTTTTTTTAAGGGTTTCACATTTTCATTTTTTATTTCAATAAATTCAACAATTTGGATCTCATTTTATTCCTAATCCGATTATTTGCTCTAACACCCCTAACATTCAAACTCCCCACTCCTAAGGTTCGTATTCATGATTTCTATTTCACCCTTTTTTTGTATTTTTTTTTTTTTAAGGGTTTCACATTTTCAAGTTTTATTTCAATAAATCCAACAATTTGGATCTCATTTTATTCCTAATCCGATTATTTGTTCTAACACCCCTAACATTCAAACTCCCTACTCCTAAGGTTCGTATTCATGATTTCTATTTCACCCTTTTTTTGTATTTTTTTTTTTAAGGGTTTCACATTTTCAAGTTTTATTTCAATAAATCCAACAATTTGACAATTTGAATCTCATTTTATTCCTAATCCGATTATTTGTTCTAACACCCCTAACATTTAAAACCCCTCACTCTTATGGTTCGGTTTTTTTACCATAATTTCTCTTTCAATCTTTTTTTCTGAATTTTTTTTTTTCTTTTATGAGTTTCACATGTTCAAGTTTTATTTCAATAAATCCAACAATTTGACAATTTGAATCTCATTTTATTTTTAATTGTATTATTTGTTACAACGTCAAACCTTTCACTCTCTTATGGTTTGAAATTGTTCTTGTATTCGTCTTTCGATTTTTTCATTTTTTTTTTTTTTTAGGGTTTAACGTTTTCAATAAAAACATTCTTTTTTTTTTTTCAATAAATCTAACAAAAATAAAGTTGTCTTTCTTTATGATCGTACCTAGTTTTCTACAATTGTGTAATAAAATGCTGAAGTAATGGCTTTTACAAAACATTAAAAAGTGTTCCTGAAAGTGATAGATTTACTTTCAAACAAAATTGTTAAGAAAATCTACCAAAAGTCTATTTCTATTTCTTTCTCTTTCTTTCTTTCTCTTTCTCTTTTCATTTTATTTTTATTTGTAAAATGTCATAGATATATATATATATATATATATAGTTTTTTATATAAAAACGAAACTCGAACAAAATACAATTTCAAGCTTGATCGCGAACAGTTCTAATAACATGATTGACTTTTTCCGACAGTTAAATCTCTAGTTTCCATTATTTATCCTTTTTTACTCTCTCTCTCTCTCTCTCTCTCTCTCTCTCTCTCTCTCTCTCTCTCTCTCTTTCTTCCTTTCGTGTTATTTTTATTTATTTTTTTTTAAGGATATGATTTAACTAAATTGCAGTTTTATATGCAGAACAAATGTTTACCTTATCATCTCGTTGATTATACTTGTTTTTTATTCGCATCTTTTTTTGTTCGACATACCAGTCATCAATTTTGATTAAAAAAAAAAAAAAATTCCAATTTGTGTTTTACCTCAAACATTTTGAAATATTATTATCAAAAATATTTAAAATTATTATTATTAAAAAATTAAACGATCAAAAGTCAGTCACGTTTATAATTAATATAAAATGATATTTATTATAAAATGAATTAAACATTAAGTATCAACAAAAAAAAAATAATAATAATAATAAAATAAAATACTAAATAATTAATCTTGTACCAATCTGGTGATAAACAAATGTCTTTATCTTATCATTTTGTTTATTTTACTATTTTTTTCTTTTTTTTTTTTTTTTTTATTCTCATAAGTATTTTATTCTTATATAATAGTATATAATACACAATGAATATATTTGAAAATAAAAAAAAAAAACTGTAAATATGAAAGTGTAAAAAAAAAAAAAAACAAAGAAAATGCATATAAGGTAATATATAATATATAATTATATAATAGTATATAATACACAATGAATATATTTGAAAATTAAAAAAAAACTGTAAATATGAAAGTATATAAGTGAAATGTATATAAGGAAAAAAGTCTTTTTTTCTTTTCTTGTAATTATTTAAAAAAGGGAAGATTATATTTTTAGGAAAAACTATTGTTAAATATTTCCCCCCCC